CGAGGTCAATGGTCTAACGACTACGGCATGCACGACTATGAGTACAGACCCCCCTCGCCCCCCCTCTCTGTAAATCACACGGACTCGCGCCCCCACAACTCAACATCGTCACTGCTGCTGTGTTTCAAAAAAAAAGTTGTGAGCCAATGGTATCAAACGTAACAACGCACGAGCCTAATGCAAGTACCTTTTTTTTCGAAAATATTAAAAAAACTAGGGGCAAGTGACGAAATGGGGTAGTCTATAGACTATACCCCGCGTGTTTCGGCACAAAATGGGGTATACTTTTTTACGGTATGGGATGCAACGCCTAACGTCGGGTAGGCTTCTGTCTCCTTACCTCGCCGCAGACCACTACAAAGCCTGTGTATGTTGCACCGCAGACCACCATACCCCACCATCTCCTGTCTTCTTGCCGCGCCGCAGACCGCGAAACCTGCGTGTTACACCGCCGATCACCATACCCCAATACATTTCTTGTGTCGTCACATCTACGGCGGCGGTGGTCTGCGGTTGATTGTTGATGGTTGCCATTTTGGCAGTCCGGAGGAGGAACGTCACCACTGAATGAACCAAAGAGGGGTATGTATGCGTTGGACATTATGGGGGGTACGTTTGTGAGGAAAATGGGGTACTAAGTAAACTTTTAGCAGACAGGGGAGGGGTTTACCCCGCGGTTTCGTGAACAAAATGGGGTCCTCCAACAAGCTCCCCTCTTTCAGGCCCTAGTTAACTAACCCTGTTGTTCCTCCTGTGGGTGAAAATAATAAACAAAAGTTGGGTGTTCTTTCTCAGGACCTGGCACATGGGGTTGAAGCGCTAGAAGGCGGTTTAACGGCGCCTGCCCGGCGTCAGGCGTTGCGCCCCACACCGAAAAAAAGGATATATCCCATTTTGTACCCAAACACACACGCGGGGTATACCCCATTTGTCAATCGCCCAAAAAACTAGTCGACCTCCCGACCTCCTCATACTTTAAAGCTTTTCTGTTCGCGTGTGATCGCCTCTTCGGTTCGGATAATATATATATGGACTATACAATACATTTCGTTTTTTTTCCCACTGCACGACCTACTACTCGTACGTACAGTAGTTGTGGTAGGTCGTGCATTTTTTCCCATTTTATCTGACGGCGATTTGATCGTGCCTGCCACTACTTTCTTTCCCCCCTCCTAAGGGGTATTATTATCAGGCCGAAAATGAGCTCGGTTGGTTCATCGTGTTGGTGCTTGCGGCAGTACTGTCAACTCCTTTGAGCATGTCCATGGCGTGTAGAGGCGAGCGGAGTGCCCTAGACTATTTGTCGTTGACATCTTTGGCACGCGGACCTTTCGGGTCCATTCTATTTTCGTATACCTTTTTTTGGGTAAGTTGGCCTGTGACCACAGGAACCGACCCCGTCAAAGTAGTACAGTACGGACAGAAGAAGGTAAAGTGGTAATTTTCAAGGACCCGATTTTGGTTGTCCCTCCATAACTTTTGACTGAGAGCGAGTAAAAGAAAAAGAAAAACAGCTTCGGAACGCCCGCGGCAAGGCGCAAAAGAGTAGCGAGTCGCCAAAAAAAAAAGGAAAAAACGAGAAAAAAAA